TCATTAATTTCAGATGTAGTGTTATACAATTCATCAGTTGTTTTTTCATTTAAATTCAATTAGCCAACATGGTACATCATTAATTTCAGATGTAGTGTTCAACAATTCGTCAGTTGCAAATACCACCCAGTGCTCATGACATCACGTGCCCATCAATCAATTTTTTGTTTATTTATTTGTAGAATGGAATCCCAGCTCTGATAAGTCTTTTGAAGTTAGACATAGAAAATGTGCTCATAAATGTAATGAACTGTATACGGGTGTTATGTATGGGAAATGAACAAAATCAACGAGCAGTGAGAGACCATAAAGGCATCCAACATCTTATCACATTTCTGAGTTCTGATTCAGGTGAGCCTCAACTTCTGTATTATTCTTAAGTGATCAGATATATTAAGTGAAGCAATACAGGTTGGACTTGTCCTATATGAATACATGTCGGGATTTATCTTAGAATGGATCTACACATATATAATATAAACTAAATATCTGGAACACTCAAGTTCAAATGCTGGTTTATAAAAGGAATTGACTCTCAAAGCCATAGTTTAACATAAAAGTTTAATTGGACTTTTTTATAAATGGAAATACTGGCACAAATCATGAAAATAATGCAGTTAATATACCCAGGGACTTGAGTAGATAACTCCTTGTGTGAATAACACATATATTGATCTTTGGGAACTATTTTATAAGTTACCACAAAAACTTCAGATTTGCTGTTAGATATTGGATAGCAAAATTCTAGGTCATCAGGTCGTTAGGCCAATTATCACACTCTGAAGTACATATCAGCACCAAGAACATCACAAGCTATGAGGTAGCTCTTGTCTGTGCTGCAAATGGTCTCTTAGGTTCTATAAGAATTATCTCATTTCAGTGAGCATACACATAACAGGGTAAGCTTCAAATCCATGGTTTTCCCCAAATTTGAGGGGATAAAAAATTGGGGAAAAGCTTGCCCATTTTTCTTCCTCCGCAGTTTATCATCTTTCTGTTCTAGGTTTTCAGGAATAAATACAGAAAAAATATGTTGGTTAACATGTAAGATAGGGTTATGGATAAGGGGGTTGTTGAAGAGAGCTTTCTCTTACTTTAGACCTTCAAAGTAACTATCATCTTCTAGGGACGCCTGGGTGGCTCAGTCGTTAAGCATCTGCCTTCGGCTCAGGTCATGATCCCAGGGTCCTAGGATAGAGCCCCGTATCAGGCTCCCTGCTCAGCGGGAAGCCTGCTTTTCCCTCTGCCTGCCTCTCCCCCTGCTCGTGCTCTCAATCTTTCTCTCTGACAAATAAATAAAATCTTTTTAAAAATTATCATCTTCTAAGAACCTCTCTGTATGGGGAAATCATTTGAAAGTCCTTTCCCTTCATTACAAATTCCTAAGGTCATCTGCTCTAACTGGCCCTCCATCAATAACTATGCTCTACTTTTTTTTTTTTTTTTTAAGTAGGCTCCACGCCCACTGTGTAGTCCAATGCAGGGCCTGAATTCACAGCCCTGAGATCAAGACCTGAGCTGAGATCAAGAGTCAGACACTTAACACCTGAGCCACCCAGGTGCCCCTACTTTATCATTTTTAAGAATAGCATTAGCGATAATGCATAGAATCATCCAATCACTATGCCCTATGTTATGCAGCTGAAATAATATAACATTGTCCACTATGCTTCAATTTAAAAAAAAAAAGCATTAGAGGGGCGCCTGGGTGGCTCAGCCAGTTAAGCATCTGCCTTCGGCTCAGGTCATGATCCCAGGGTTCTGGGATCTATCTAGCCCTGCATTGGGCTCCCTGTTGAGTGGGGAGCCTGCTTCTTCCTCTCCCTCTACCTGCAGCTCCCCCTGCTTATGCTCTCTCTCTGTCAAATAAATAAATAAATAAAAATCTTTTAAGAAAAAAAAAGTTTAAAAAAATAGCGTTAGAGAGAGCCAGCTTTTATGCTTATTTTAGCCATAGAATTTTTACTTGTTATAATTGTTCTTTATTATTTGTGTTTTATCTCCTTAATTAAAATTTAAAGATGGGGCGGGGCATGCCTGGGTGGCTTAGTTGGTTAAGTGTCCAACTCTTGACTTCAGTTCAGGCCCTAATCTTAGGGTTGTGAGATTGAGCCCTGAGTCTGGCTCCATGCCGGGTGTGGAGCTGCCTTAAGATTCTCTCCCTCTCCCTCTGCCCTTCCCCCGCCCTAAAAAAATGTAAAGACAGGGACTAGTTTTTCCCTATCCTTTTTCATCCTCCAAATCCTAGATGCTAGAACAAAGCACAAATTACAGAGGCCATTTGAACAAATAAACAGTAAATAAATTCATGAAAGAAAGCTATAGAAATAAATTGTTGAAATTGTTTCTTTTGAGTTCTTGCCTTATCTAAATGAAAGTAACTTATCCTATACTATAATCTATATTATCTCCTCATTCCAAGGAAGATAATTTTGGGAAAAAAATTATTAATTATTTTTCTCTTTGTTTATAAATTATAAATGCTTCATTTATAATTTTAATGCTTTAACAAATAATTCTCTTGGCTGTTAGCTGGGTTGTTAAGTTGTAGGTGTTCACAAAGGAATTTTATTAATTCCAATATCTTCTTAACCATTCTCAACCACTCTAAGATTTCATGCATTAAGGTAAAATGGCCCCAAAGCAGAGTCACAGCAGTTTCTTGAGATAAGGGATTTATTAACATCTTCTTAGTTTTGACCCCTGTCTCCAGGAGTTCCTCAACCTTTGTTGAGTTTGGTTTGGTTTAAGCCTTCGCTTCACCCATCTTTAGCTGCTTATTTCACACTCTTCCACTTATGTTTGTGACTGCATGCATACTCTCATTCCTGTAATGCTTCACATTTCATCTTTCTCATGGCACACAATTGTCCTGTTCTGTGTTATTGACAAAGGTCTGTATGAAATTGAAATATGTAACAGAAAGTATACAAAATGCTTTTCAACTGGAAACTATCAGCAAAACTTAAGGAGCACTTCATCCTTCTTAGAATGATTATTGACACATTTCACTGCAGATGTGTTTTCTCCACACTCCCTGGGATGTTAGGTAATAGACAGTATATGCAGTCGTTACCTTCTGAAATCTGAAAACTTTGGAATTCTGTTCATAAGAGTTTTAGATAAAGACCATCTCCATTATGAAACTTCTTGTATCCAACTCGAAGTTGGGAGTTCCTCAGGCTCTGTTCTTGGTCTGCTTTTTTTTTTTTTTTTTTAATACAGCGCACACTCCTAAGCAATTGTATTTACTCTTTAGAACTTTGTTATGGTTATAATCTATTCTTCCCAGTTCTCTATCCAAATCCCTGACCTCTCCTCTGAGCTTTAGAGCTAGTTTGGATTATTGAGGCACTAAGATAGCCCCTCTCCCTTTAGAATTTGGATCCAATTGATAAGTAGACACAGGAATCAAATAGAGATCAGAACTTCAGCCATATCAGCCATATTTACAAATGCACAAAATGCATTTGTGATGACTGATTCTCCAATTAAGAAATTATGTAATTCAGGGTGCCTGGGTGGCTCAGTCGTTAAGCGTCTGCCTTTGGCTCAGGTCATGACCCCAGCGTCCTGGGATAGAGCCCCGCGTCGGGCTCCCTGCTCCGCGGGAAGCCTGCTTCTCCCTCTCCCACTCCCCCTGCTTGTGTTCCCTCTCTCGCTGTCTCTCTATCAAATAAATAAATAAAATCTTAAAAAAAAAAAGAAAGAAATTATGTAATTCAGGGTGCCTGGGTGGCTCAGTCGTTAAGCGTCTGCCTTCGGCTCAGGTCATGATCCCAGGGTCCTGGGATCCAGCCCCCGTGGGAAGCCTGCTTCTCCCTCTCCCACTCCCCCTGCTTGTGTTCCCTCTCTCGCTGTCTCTCTATCAAATAAATAAATAAAATCTTTAAAAAAAAAGAAAGAAATTATGTAATTCACTATTCCTTTTATGGGAGAAATGAGCAACATGCCTGAGTGTGGGAATTTCCACATTTTGGACTGACGCAGCAGTATGGGGTAAAAGAATGATCCACCCACACTCTCTTAATTTTAGTAACCTATTGGGTTTTGTTTTTTTTTTAAGATTTTATTTATTCATTTGAGACAGAGAGAGAGAGAGAAAGGGATGGGCAGGGGCAGAGGGAGAGGGAGAAGCAGGCTTCCCGCTGAGCAGGGAGCCTGATGCAGGGCTTGATCCTAGAACTCTGAGATCAGGACCTGAGCCGAAGGCAGATGCTTAACGACTGAGCCACCCAGGCGCCCCAACCTATTGGGTTTAACAACATTTCAAGTATTACTAGAGTGATGTATGTAAAATGCAAAGTTGATCATATTTTTACCCTCTTTTAAATCATTCACTGGCTCTTTGTCACCCAGGATAAAGCCCAAATTTCTGTCATAGCCTATATGCCCTTCTAACCTTCTCATTCCAAATGGAAATGACCTTCCCATCACTTCCTATCACTCCCTCCCTCTCTTATTTTACTCTGAAGTAGTACGGAACATATTGCTATTTCATACTTCTGGCCTTTGGCTTGTTCCGCAAGGTCAGGGACTTTGTCTTGTCGGTTCATCACTGTTTCCTAATGCCTAGGACAGTGCCTGGCATGTAGTAGCTCCTCAATAAAGTATTTGCTCAAAAAGCAAATTATTGAATGATGAAAATATTCGTAACAAAAAGTTAATATATTTGATATAAGTGATATATATACATACATACATGTACACATATATACATGTACACATATATATATATATATATTTATAAATGGGTATGAACAAGAAGGCCTTAATAGAGATAACTAACCTGAATGACAGAAAGTAAGAAAATGCTAAAAAAAAAAAAAAAAAATATGGAAGTATATCAACTGTTGCTAAATCTTGAGGGAGTTCTCAGACTTACCCTTGCAACTTTTCTATAATTTTTAAAGAGAACAAATACAACTGGTTAATAAGCATATATGAAACTATTTAGATTCACCAGTAACCAAAAATATGAAATAAAAGGAGACACAGTTTTTTGCCTATCAAATTAGCTAAATGTACGTATTTATTTTAATGATGATATCTATACTTAAAAAGGTAAGGCCACATTGAAACTCTCATATTCTGATTATGGAAGGGTAAGATGCAATTATCATTTTTGGAAAGTAATTTACTGTGATATATTAAATTATTCCAGTAATTCCCGGGACTCTACACTAAGGGAAAAAACAGGAAGGAAAAATACCTTTTGTGCCAAGATTTCTCCTACATATTGTTTAAAACCGTGAAAAGTTGGAAATGACATGTATTTTTTAAAAAGGTGAATGGAGGGCGCCTGGGTGGCTCAGTTGGTTAAGCGACTGCCTTCGGCTCAGGTCATGATCCTGGAGTCCCGGGATCGAGTCCCGCATCGGGCTCCCTGCTCGGCAGGGAGCCTGCTTCTCCCTCTGACCCTCCCCCCTCTCATGTGCTCTCTGTCTCTCATTCTCTCTGTCTCAGATAAATAAATAAATTTTAAAAAAAAAAAAAGGTGAATGGATAAGGAAATGTGATACACTCATCAGTGGAACATTTAGGAGACACTGATGCTCACAAAGAATGGGAAAATGTTTTACTGGTAAATTAAAATGCAGGATGTTGTGCTTTTAGTACAACTATATTAAATATGTCTATAACACTACTTAAATATATCTTTTCCTTTAAAAAGCGAATGAGAGTAAATGAAATATTTGTTGTTTGGGTGGTGAGAATCTGGACAGTTTTATTTCTATTTTTCTTATTTTCTCAATTTTCTATACACTCTATAAGTTTGATTTTGTAATATGGGAATCTAGTGATAAGTTGCACTTTTATATTTTTAAAAGGTTTATTTAACTGTGTCTTGAATTCATTTGAAGACGTGTTGAAGGCCGTATCTTCTGCTACAATCGCTGAGGTGGCGCGTGCCAATAGGGATGTTCAGGATGCTGTTGCCATGGAGGGAGCCATTCCTCCTCTGGTGGCTCTTTTTAAGGGGAAACAACTGAGTGTCCAAGTGAAGGGTGCAATGGCTGTGGAATCACTGGCTAGTTACAACCCGTGTATACAGAGAGCATTTCTGGAAAAATCCTTAAGTAAATACCTTTTAAAACTCCTCAAGGTAGGAACTTTATGGTAACTTGTCATTTTTCTTAGACAAAGTATTCAATACTGAATTCAGTAAAGTGAAAAGAAAACTAAAACCAATTCTTGAATAAACTTTTTTTTAAGATTTTATTTATTTATTATTTATTTATTTTAGAGAGAGAGCACGAGCATGTTGGTGGGGGGTGGGGGGAATCTCAAGCAGACCATGCCTGGCGTGGAGCCCAACACGGAGCTCGATCTCACGACCCTGAGATCATGATCTGAGCCAAAACCCAGAGTCAGACGCTTAACCGACTGAGCCACCCGGGTGCCCCTAGAATAGACTTTTTATAAAACATCCCTACAGTGTTCAGTAAATGCTCATTGAAAGAATGGAATATTTTTTTTAATAGGCGTTTCAAACAGATGTTAAGGAACAAGGAGCTGTAGCCCTCTGGGCCTTGGCAGGACAAACCCTGAAACAACAGAAGTATATGGCAGAACAGATTGGATACAACTTTATAATAAACATGCTTTTGTCACCATCAGCTAAAATGCAGTATGTTGGTAAGTTATTTCCTATGCATAAATTTGCACAATGTAGAGCAGCACATTGAAGTATCAGATATATTTCTTGCTTTTCTTGACCAGGAGGTGAAGCAGTCATAGCTCTAAGTAAGGACAGCAGGATGCATCAAAATCAAATATGTGAAGGGAATGGAATTGCACCGTTGGTTCGCTTACTGAGGATTAGTAAAATAGCTGAAGGCACACTTCTGAGTGTCATCAGAGCAGTGGGGTCCATTTGTATTGGTTTGTAAATTTTTTCTCCATTCTTAAAATATCAGTAAGATACTTCCCTTCCTCTCTGTCCTCATTGATAAAGCCCTAAATCATACTTAATCTATAAAAGGCTTACCATTTTTTAAATTTCTCTAAGACCTTAATGAGTAAAAGTGGTGTAATTAGGAATTTTTTTTTTATCAGCTTTGCCCTTCAACTCTGGTTAAAAAAGGATAATGAGGACAATGAGCTTAGGCTGTTTTGAGTTAAAGGAATCTCATTGTTTTAAGTTTAAGAGAAAAATATTTCTTCTTTCCAATCTTAAGAACTATATGTTTTATATAGAATTTCTAATGCAGGGGCACATTTTTCAATTCCAGTTTTTTTCCATAATGATTATTTCTTTATAAAGTGGCTGGGGGCGGGGGCATGGCTTAGTTGGTTAAGCGTCTGCCTTTGGCTCAAGTCATGGTCCTGGAGTCCTGGGAGGGAGCCCCACATCGGGCTCCTTGTTCAGCAGGGAGTCCGCTTCTCCCCCTTCCTCCACCCCTCCTGCTCTCTCTCGCTCACTCTCTCTCAAATAAATACATAAAATCTTTTTTAAAAAAATAAAAGTGGCCAGTAGGTCTAGTTGTTCCTTTCACTGCAAAGGAACTAACATTTTGGGATGTCTGTAAAAGTGTTGTAGGATTGTCAGTGATTCATCTACCAAAAATAAAAATTTGAGTTCTTTGCTGAACTTCATGAATGTATGAAGCTGATTGTAGACTGTTTCTTGTAGATAAGAAAAAAAAAATCTTTATTTGTAGTTGATTGTATTTCCTCAAAAAATAGTCTAGCTGAATGAAGAATGTAGGAATTGGTTCCCAAAAGATTTTTTTTTCCTTGCTTGAAAAAGCTACTTTGCAGAAGTTCATTAAAGCTCCAAGGCAGTCAGTCAGACAAAATAGTTTCTTTTTTTAGTCAGAGCCTATGGTATAGATTATAGAGATTTCTAAAATTCTAATAGATGATAACATATATACAAAAATACTGTATGTGTGTGTGTGTGTGTGTGTGCGTGAGCACACACGAATGTAATTTCTTCTCATTACTTCACTTCATAGCTGTCTACAAACCTGTCTCCATTTGCCATAGACAAGGGGATCTCCAGCAGAACTACAGAAGAAAACTCTTGATTTCAAATTTACTAGTTTAGACTGGTTATACATACACACACACCTCCCTTTTTCTTCCTCATGATGTTCATATTTTCTTCTATGTTCTTGAACATACATAACATATTTAAAATAGCTGTTTTAACATCTCTGTAATGATATCCAACATCTGTACCATTTCTGGGTCTCTTTCTATTGGCAGATTTTTTTTTTTCCTGATTATGAATCATATTTTCCTACTTCTTTGCATGCCTACAAATTTTAAATGTGGGTTTTTAAAGACCTATTGAAATAGTTTACATACAATAAAATATTTGTTTTTATAGATTTTTTCTTTCTTTTTTTTTTTTTTAAAGATTTTATTTATTTGTTTGACAGAGAGAGACACAGCTAGAGAGGGAACACAAGCAGGGGGAGTGGAAGAGGGAGAAGCAGGCTTCCCGCCGAGCAGGGAGCCCGATGCGGGGATCGATCCCAGGACCCTGGGATCATGACCTGAGCCGAAGACAGACGCTTAATGACTGAGCCACCCAGGCGCCCCAAGATTTTATTTATTTCTGAGAGAGAGCACGTGCGTGCGCAAGCATGAGGGCATGGGGGGAGATGCAGAGGGAGAAGCAGACTCCCTGCTGAGCAGGGAACCCCACGTGGAACTTAATCCCAGGATCCAGAGATCATGACCTGAGCTGAAGGCAGACGCTTAGCCGGCTGAGCCACTCAGGCGCCCCACAATAAAATATTTTTTTTTATTATTTATTTTTATTTTTTATTTATTTATTTTTCCCTCGGTCCCCCCACAATAAAATATTTAAATAAAATATACAATAGAATAAAATACAAAAATACATTAAACCATACAATTTGATGAGTTTTAACATATGCATTCAGCTGTGACACCATCACAACAGTCAAATAAATGAATATAACCATCACCCTGAATGATTTCATTGTGTGGCTTTGTAATCCCTCCCTCTTTGCACTTCCATCTCCAGAGAACCACTGATGGTTTCTATCATTATAGATTAGTTTGTATTTTCTAGAATTTTATGTAAGTGGATTATACAGATGTACTTTTTTTCTTGCTCCTTTCACTCGACATAGCTATTTTGATTTTTATGCATATTATTGTATCAATAGTTCACTTTTTTAATGCTGAGTAGTATTCCATTGTATGGTATGATGGATAATTTTATGTCTTATGATATATATAGTTATTACCTACCTACCTACCTAAATACATACATATCCTGTTGGTTGTTTTTCTGCAAAACCCTGACTAATACATATGGATATCCTATTTGTTTATCCATGCACCCACTGATGGACATTTAGATTGTTTCCAGTTTCTTACTATTATATCTAAAACTGCTATGAACATTTGTGTATAAGTCTTTGTACAGACACAAACGTTTTCATTTAGTTACCCTAAAAGTTATTTAGGGTAAATACCTAAAAGTAGGATTGCTGGATCATATAGTAGTATATGTTTAACTTTTAGAGAAACTGCCAGACTGTTTTTCCAAGTTGTGTTATTACTTTGCATTCCTACTAGCAATGTATGAGAGTCCCAGCAGCTTCACATCCTTGCCAAAACTTAGTATGATGACTTTAGCCGTTATAGTGGGTATGTAGTAAATCTCATTGTGGTTTTAACTTGCATTTCCCTAATGATTAATAATGCAGAACATCTTTTCTATGTGCTTATTTGCCATTTGTATATCCTCTTTGGTAAAGTGTCTGTTCAGATATTTTGCCCATTTTTTAAATTGTGTTGTCTTATTGAATTGTAAACATTCTTTATATATTCTAGATACAAATCATTTGTTAGATGTATGTTTTGCATATTCCCAGTCTATGGTGCGTTCGTCCATTTATGTAACAGGGCCTTTTGAAGAGCAAAAGTTTTTAATTTTGATGAAGTCCAATTTATTGATATTTTAAATATTTTAGTTTGTAGGTTTTGTGTCCTCTTTAAGAAACCTGCCAAACTCAAGATCATAAAGGTTTTCTGTTTCCTCTGTATTTAGATGTATGATCCATTTTGAGTTAATTTTTGTATATGGCCCACATTTTTTTTGTTTGGCTATTGTGGACATTGCTGCTATAAACATTGGGGTGCAGGTGCCCCTTCGGATCACTAGGTTTGTATCTTTGGGGTAAATACTCAGTAATATATAGCATTTCCTTTTGTAATTTATTAACCATATTATGCTAGGACACTTAATCAACCCAACATATCAAACTGTGTTTGACTTTACCATTTCCAAGATGGAAAGAAATATTCTTATTGATATGTATATTCTTATAGGTGTCGCCCATACAAGTAATCCTATCAGTCAACAATTCGTTGTAGAGGAAAATGCCTTTCCAGTACTTATTCACCTACTGAGAAATCACCCTTCTCCTAACATCAAGGTATATAAAAGCTTTTAAGGTTTTGTTTTTTTTCTGATATAGTAAAAATTAACAGAAATACGACTTTTTGAGAATAATTTGTATCTTCATGTAAATTCACAAGTATAATAAAAAAATTTAACATTTTAAACAAAATCTTAGAAGTTTTAAATTTAAAAATTGCTGTAAAAATAGTAAATTTTATTAAAATGTTAAATTTTCAAATAATTAAGTCTTGTGTCTTTACTCATCAAATAAGTTTTATTCCTCAGATATTTGATTATTCACAGAATTTCTTCCCTTCTTCTTCAGATATTAGTTGCTAAAACTGGGCGGGGATAATGAGGATGTGTGATTTATGTAGCAAAATTTCTCAAATATAAGTGATTCCTATCAGTATTACACCATCAGAACAGCTTTACCTTCTACCAAGCAGTCTGTGTTGGCCAGCAACAATAGTTTTCTCAATACTGATAACTTAGGAGTTGTTTAAGAGTCATTTACATCCTCCTAAAAGGTTTTCAGAGTGTGCATCAAATGACTCCCGAAATAGAGTATTTCTCAGGACTACTCCCCAGTGCTCTGCTTAATTCATAAGCATTCCATTGAAGCCTTACAACTCAATGGTCAGTAGCTAATAAGCAGTTCAAAACAGCTTTTATCCCATGCCAAGAAATTAAAATTTTTTTAGATGCAGAAGGGATACAACTATGCACTTAAGATAATACCTCCTCACATTTCTGGCTGGCTCTGGCCGCTTCCCCTGATGCCCTCCAATGGAGCTGTGTGGTTGTGCTGACGGCACACAGAGGATTTTCCCAGCTGTTAAAAATTATAAGGGACATTCCTCCAGGCATTATAAATGCCACTCTAAATATTAGAGAACTGGAATCAATGAATTATATATTATCTTTGAATTAGTATATCCCATATGAACGTTTGTATAATGAAATATGTCATGATAAACCATGAGTAAAAAATAATTTCTGAAAATCACATATTTAGGTTGAAGTGGCATTTTCCTTGGCATGCATTGTCCTAAAGAATGATCTGTTACAGAATGAATTACAAGAAAATGAAGGATTTAAGTATGCCGATGTCCTTTATCTTCTTCACTCACCAGATAAGGTATATCTTTATAAAATGTTAGAGCTCATGCAGAAAGGTTTTTAGACCACATTGCCAAATTATAAGTGTTTCACAGCAATACTTAAATATATTACATAAGAAATGTAAAATCTCTTTGGTAGGTCATTAGTTTGTAATGATGAAATAATACTGTTCCATATTTTTCATAGCTGTCACATTCTTTGAAACGTAGCAGTTTTAATGCTCGAAGAACAAATAAATCTGTTCTGTCCTGGATGTGTTGAAAATTTTCCTAATTTTATGACCTTTCAACTCTCAGTCATCCATTTCTTACCCAGTATTCCAGAGTAGTGCTTCTCAAATTATGTGTGATGAAGGAAAGCTTTTCCCCAGCAATCTTTTATGGGGAGGTTACGGTGACTAACATAACATAATAAAAATAAATTAAATTAAAAACAAACTACATCAAAAACTAATGATGTACTATATGTTGGCTAACTGACCATAACAATAAAAAAATAACATAAAAACAAAAACAAAAACTTTAAATTTTGAAATAATTTTAGATTTTCCAAAATTTTGCAAAAATAGTAGGGAGTGTTCTAGCATATCCTTTATCCAGCTTTCCTGGATATCAAGAAGAAAATTAACATCAATACCATACAATTAACTAATCTGCAAGTTTTATCTAAGTTTTGCCAATTTTCTCACCAATGTCCTTTTTCTCTACCGGAATCCAATCCAGGATCTCCTATTAGATCTAGTTGTTATGTCCCTTTGGTCTCCTTCAATATGTGAAACACCGTCCTTTGTCTTTCATGATTTTACATATCTTCCGTGATTTTGACATTTTTGATGAGTCCATGCCAGTTACTTTGTAGAATGTCCATCAATTGAATTATCTGATGTTTTCTCATGATTAAATTGAGGTGGTACATTTTGGCAAGAATACCACAGAAATGATGTGTCTTCTTCACTCACCTGCTCAGTGCATTATTTCAGGAGGTACATACTGCTGTTACGTCTTATAACGGCAGTGCTAACTTTGGGTACTTGGTTAATGTACTGTCATATTTCTCCACTGTAAAGTCACTGTACTTTCCTTTTTTAATTAACAAGTTTCTTGAGGTGAGACACTTTGAGCCCATGCAAATGATTCTGTTTGGCATGCATTTTTTCTCGCCAATTTTAGCATCCACGGATGCAACAATGATTACATGGTATTTGCCTAATGGCAATTTTTAAAAAAATTCTTTCTTCTTCTTTCTTTTTTTAAAATCAAGTTTTTATTTAAATTCCACTTAGTTCATACAGTGTAATATTAGTTTCACGTGTACAATTTAGTGATTCAACACTTACATATGACACCTGGTGCTCATCACACATGCCTTCCTTAATCCCCATCACCCATTGAACCCATCCTCCCATTCCCTGCTCTCTGGTAACCACCAGTTTGTTCCCTATAATTAAGAGTCCGTGTCTTGCTTTTCTTCTCTTCCCCCACCCCATTTGTTTCTTTTGTTTCTTAAATTCCACATATGAGTGAAATCATATGATATTTATCTTTCTCTGACTTACTTCACTTAGCATAACACACTCTAGCTCCATCCACATCATTACAAATGGCAAGATTTCATTCTTTTTTTATGGCTGAGTAATATTCCATTGTAAATATGTACCGTATCTTCTTTATCCATGCATCAGTCAATGGACAACTGGGCTCTTTCCATAATTTGGCTATTGTTCATAATGCTGCTATAAACATATTCTTCTTTGTATATTAATTGGTATTTAACTATATTTAACTATAAGGAAGAGTTATAAATAAAAGTTCCTTTTATTTATTTTTTAAGATTTTATTTATTTGTCAGAAAGAGAGAGTGCACAAGCAGGGGGAGCGGCTGGCGGAGGGAGAAGCAGGCTCCCTGCTGAGCTAGGAGCCCAATGCGGGGCTCGATCCCAGGACCCTGGGATCATGACCTGAGTTGAAGGCTGAGGCTTAACCAACTGAGCCCCCCAGGAGTCCCAAAGCTGTTCCTTTTAAATGCTAATTCCCAGTTTCTGTAATCCTGTTGCCAACCATTTTGTGGACTGGTCCATGGGCCACACTTTGAATAGCACTAATCCCAGAGAAATTTGAGAACTTTTGTTGTCTGCAGTGCATTTAGCAATCAGGGAAGAAAACTGCCAACTATCTCCGTCAGTTCTGTTCTGGGGGATTTGGGAGGAAGAAAGGAGGGCTAAAAGGGGAGAAATGAACTCACTGCATAATTTTTTTTTTTTAATTTAGAATTGTACTCTACTGTAGTATATGAAAAAATGGAGATGTGCTGCTGTAATAATATGAGGAATATAGGGTGAGGAGACTGAATTTGGGTCTAACTCCCTAAGCCACCTTTCTTCTCTCTCAGTTCACGTCACATTTTATTCTCATTACCCTATTCCTCAGGGACACTCTTCTTTTTCTTCTACTAATTATTCTCCTAATAATTATCCTTTTCTTCCCAGCCTATTTCCACCTGCTTCACTTACTGGACCCTATTTCTTTGTGTATTCCTAATACCTTTCTTCTTGCTTTATGATCAGGTGACTACTTGTGTGTACATAATTTTAATTATGGAACATTTCAAACATATATAGAATAAAGGAGTAGCATAATGAACTTAAATATTTCAATGACCCAGCTTCCACAATTATCAACTCATGGCCAGTCTTATTTCATCTATATACCCACTTGCTCTTCCTATATTATTATTATTTTTTAAAGATTTATTTATTTGAGAGACAGAGAGAGAGAAAGCTGGCACATGCACGAGAGAAGGGGAGGGGCATAGGGAGAGAAGCTCAAGCAGACTCTCCGCTGGGCATGGAGTTCCTGTAGGGCTAGATCTCACAACACTGAGATCATGACCTAAGCCAAAACCAAGAGTCAGAGGCCCAACCGACTGAGCCACCCAGGAGTCCCTTGTCCTATATTACTTTTGAAGCAAATCTCAGGCATCATATAATTTTATTGGTAAATATTTTAGTATGTACATATAGCACTTTTAATATAATGATTAATAGTGGCAGAAGAAAACTCATGAGATTAATGGTTCTTTCTGTACTATACTGTTCAAACAAAATATTAAAAATAAGATTTAGTGATAAAATTCTTTTTGGTCTTTCTGGAAGATCTACCATATTTGTTCATCTTTGGCAAATGAACTGACTCTAAGGAAGAATTGGCTTTTGCTCTGTTTGCCAAATCCCAGAATGTTAAAATGTGATTTTTAAATCATCTTTTTATTTCCTCTTAGGATATAGTACAGAATTTTACAAATGAACTTATTTTAAGAGATGACAGAGATCATCCCACAATGCATAAAACATAATATATAGCATGCTATACAAGGGAAGTTTTGCTTTATCAAGTCTACTTTGAAATGTTGAAATGAAAATAAAAATAAAAATATGTTAAAACAAAAAACCTGAAGGTTAATGAAATTATGGAATTTCCTGGGGCGCCTGGGTGGCTCAGTCGTTGGGCGCCTGCCTTCGGCTCGGGTCGTGGTCCCGGGGTCCTGGGATCGAGCCCCACATCGGGCTCCCTGCTCGGCGGGAAGCCTGCTTCTCCCTCTCCCGCTCCCCCTGCTTGTGTTCCCTCCCTCACTGTGTCTCTCTCTGTCAAATAAATAAATAAAATCTTTATTAAAAAAAAAAGAAATTATGGAATTTCCTGTTACTATTTAGATATTTATTTGCATAATCATTAACCTAACATTCCCTCTGAAAATTAAAATTACTTCTCTTTTCTTCTCCCTGATATCACAACCTACTTCTCTATTTTATCTGTTCAATAACATTCTGGGTTAACTCTATTACCTATTTTCCCCAATAATGTCAAATTTTACTCCCAGAGATAAGAATGCAATATATTTAGATGGGCAAGAATTCAAAATCTATTACCTTGAGTAACATAACAGATGAACTAAGTTAAAGATAATGCATGTTTCTCCTATTTCTAGGATGTTTGTTTAAGGGCAGGCTATGCATTAACCCTTTTTGCCTTCAATAATCGCCTTCAACAATACTTAATTTTGGAAAGTGGAATAATGACCATATCAATCTTTGAGCCTTTTCTTGAATCAGCAGTTGAAACTGAGAAGGCAATGGCAGCATTTCAGGTATAAAACTGGAAGTTAAAACTTCAAATCAATAAGTATGTCTTTTTAGACAAAACTTAAAAACGAGAAAAAATTTTGATCTGGAAAAGCATTTACCAATTTGTAAAATTCAGCATTTCTCACACCAGCCCTTTCTACCTCAAAAAACCTCCATTATTTATGAGGATATCTTCATTTATACATAATTTTACAAGTTACAAGGCACTTTTTGCCTCTGTACTTGATTTGATGCTTATAACAACCCTGCCAGGTTGATGGGCAGATAGTATCATTTTCATCATGCCCGTATTATACGCAGAGAAAACAAGGCAGTATACAGACAAGTTTTCTAACTGCACATCTTTAGCTGATCACACTGATTCTATCTGGGTGCTTCCTTCTCTACCCAATGACCTTTAGAAGAACTATTTTCTACGAACCCATACTTCAAGGATGCAAAAGCTACAAATATTGTAGGAAGAATACAGTGGCCTGCCATGTTCACCACCGTGATCAGATAGTGACAACTACTCTGATTAAACCCCTGCCACTTGGTTTTCTTCTACTGGTTCATACCAAATTACTCCCCTTGCCTTCCTGAGAAATACCAAAAAACAAAAGCTTAATTAGAGAAGCAGAGTAGAAAACATTCAATGATTCTATGCTTCTTTTTTGTTTTCAGATTATTATCTTAGCTAAAGTCATTATAGATGTGGACCATATTACTTTGTCTGCAAGAGGTGTTACTATTTTAGTGGATAGTCTGTATTCAGTTCATTCCACTACTATTGTCTTGACAGGTAAGAAATAACTGGAAGGTGGTTACATAAAACTACATCTGCATAAAACTATTTTCAAAAAAGTTTTGTAATCTGAACAATAATAAAATAAGCTTGATTCTATGTCACATGGTTTGAAGAATGAACTGGTTTAAGTCTACATGGAACTCCACACAAAGTCTACAGGGGACAGTGTGAGTCTACTCTGTACCCCAAATAGAAGCCGGGTAACTCTGAACATGGCCTTTTTGATTTCCTAGTTACTTTTTCAACCCCCTAATTATTTTTTTGAGAATATGAAATGAGACTCCAACTCTGAGCTACTAACCAGAAAATCTACACACTGATTTATAATAGTAATGGCAGACTTATACTGCTATACCTCTGTCTGGTTTTCTTTTGATCAACTTCACATTTTGCTAACATTTAAGAGTTCCTTATGTTGCTATGCAATATAGCAAAGCAAAATAGTCCAATACAGTTCTTGGCACCTTAATGCTAATTGTGTAACTGTATCTACTCTAGAGCTAATTTTCAAGATGAATAATTAGGTAATTGACTTGATATATCACTCTCAACACAACATGAAACAGTATCAGAATGACAACCATATGAAGTGACTACTACCAAAAAATAAATAAGGTCTTTGTTTTTTAACTGAAATGGATCACTGAAGGTAGGAAAGGAAATTACACTTGCTGCTACAGAATTATATTTTTACTTGGCATGGAAGGAAAATTCATGCAAATGAAAACTTTCTGATGGAAACTAGCTAGGAAAGAAACATGTTTAAATTATTAAATACATTCTTATTTAAATAGCATTCTTAATTCAAGTCATAGTAATTCTGTGACTCTGAAAAACAGTCATAGTGGGTTTAAATTTTACTCCACAAACTCCTGTGTGCAAGAAATACTATATTATACTAGCTTTCAAATATTAATTTTCTCAGGTTGGTTGGAATTGAATCTCAAAAATTACTAGGCTTTCTTCGTCCATATGCATTCATAGTCCTATGCATCTCCAGAGTCATGTGCATGTCTGGGGTATCCCAAGCAAAGCAGGATATTTGGGCCTCAGATATAATGTAAAGTAAGTGTTGTGCCAAATGTCTAACTTGACAAGGTTCCCAGAAGAGGCTCCAAAGGCACGGAAGTTTTACAAAGACTAGGATTTCTGTTGCCAAGTGTCCAGTTTTCCTGTGTGCACCACATAACCATTCCCTACACACAGCTCCTGTTCCTACTATCTCCTTCTTAATCTTAGATCCTCTGCCTGCCTCCATTGTTTCCCATTTCTTACTCCTCCTCTTTAAAGACACCTCTCTCCCTTTCACCTAAAATAATGCCTTCTATAAACATAAGCTTTTAAAAATATATGCCTGAAAAAAAAGGTTATTTTTAGACATTTTTTGCTTTAAGCCATACAATCCATCCCTCCCCATCCTGAAACAATAAAATACAAAGGCCTTGGTTTATAAAGAAGGCCAGAAAAAAAAATACAAGAACAAAACCCCAATGAATACCTCAATAAAGTATCCATCCACATTTATATGGGTGGATACATTTATATTTTAAAATGTGTTGCACTTATTCCAACACAGCAACAATATTGTGAAAGAATATCATATGAAAGCTCTAAAAATAAAACACATATTCAAATGAAATTGTTTTAAATTGGTAGTTGCATATTTATTTACTGAATTACTTTATTATTCTTTTTATGGCACAAACATCAATGACTTTAAATTTAAGTAATACATTGTTTGGGTTTAAAATACCATTAAGCTCTTAATTCAAAGCGATCTGAACTGCAAAAAGGACATACTAAATTTTTTTTTATGGTAGTTCAATCATTATGTTCACAGTCATTAAAAAAACACTAAAGCTCAAAACAAAATATATTCTGAAGTCATAGGGAAGAAAAGCTCTGATTTTCAAAATTCCCTACTCTTAAATAACTTTTACTGTTTGTGACAGAAAACCAAATCATAATTTTGGGGAAAGAATTCTATATTTAATATATACATGCTTTTTCTCAGCTTTTCTTCATTAACAGAGATGTCTTGTGACTCAACCCTTTTTAATATGTGCAAATGAACAAAAGTATAGTATATCAGTTTATATCAATTAAATAACACAAACTTTTTTTCTTGTTTAATTTACAGGGAATTTAATAGCTAGCCTGGCTCATTCTAGAGCTGGTATCCCAGAAGCATTTACCACATTAGGGACAATCCAACAGCTCTGCTATCATTTGTATTCCGGAAAAGAAGAGGTAAAAACAAAAGTAATTCTATAATTGAATATTCTAAAAATGTAATTGCCTCTCACTTTGTGGGCTACTTTCTCTACAGGTTAACTATGTTATATAATAGTTCATGTTACTGACTCAAAATTAGATGATTTTTCTAGTATAACATCTGCCATCCATAATTTTGGTTCCCACAAAATGTGCACATTTGTTTTAACTTCAGTACTTAAGATTCAATATACAAATAAGTACATTGATGATACAGAAATTTATAATTAAAATATTTATAAAATATCTCACAAAAACTGGTTACTTAGTAACTAACCAGTTCTTGTGATCTAAGTCATTTCTAGGATTATTTGGAATGAATGAAAGTGGAATCCATTGGACAGTTTTCTTTATCTGCCAAGCAGGATCAGAGGTGACAGTATGAAGAAGGCCAGGGTAGTGGTTTGCCTCTGAATATTCCCCTCTCCCTTCCCCCCTCCCCCAGGTGTAAGGCAGTGTTTCTCCAACTGCAGGGGACGCAGGAACCACCTGGAGGACTTGTTACCCCACAGATTGCTGGGCTCCATTCCCAGCATTTCTTATTGAATACATCTGGTTTAGGCCCTAAAATGGGCGTTTCTAACCAGTTCCTATAAGCTGAAGCTGCTGGTATCAGTGCTATACATTGAGAGCCACTGTTCAAGGTATGGTAGATAGATGGGCATATGCAGCAGTCAGATGCCAGTGTTGAGACTAGCATATCAGCCCTCTAGTACCCTGCATGGGCCTGGCTTATATTCATTCTGTGACATTTCTTAGGCCACCACTAACAGATTTTCTAAGAACTGCCCAGGAATATACTTTAATCACATGAACAACCTAATTACTTCAGGGTCACAGGCAGAGGGTATTTTTTTCTGGAGTCCTGTGGCTGATACTTTGTTTTTGCCAGTGGAAAACTGAGTTGCTTTCCTGAGTGTCTTTTTAACTTATTTTTATCCTGTAGCCTCTTACCTGGTTTCCTGTTACAATCAACTGAGCAGTTTTGAAAAATTCCAGTGTCCAGGCTGCACCCCAAAAGAATTAAGAGTTTCTAGGGGTGGAACCCTGGCAATAAGTAATTTTCATAACTATCAAGGGGATTCCAATGCACAATCAAGACTGAGACCCACTGTCCTAGCTCAAACTCAGCGGTTCTTACTCTAGCTGCAGATTGAAGTCACCTGTGGCACTTTTAAAAACAGTATGAATGCCCAGATTCTACCCCCAAGAAAGTTGATGGGCTTTTTTTTTTTTTTTTTTTTTAACTGCTGGTGATTCTAAAACGCAGTCAGGACTGAGAACAACTACTAGAAACCAATGGCAGTTGACAGCTTTCTCTAAAAATATGGCAGTTCTGCTTCCATCTGTAGATTGCCACTGGTTGACCTACACGTTTGCTCTGCAGAGCTACAGAGACTGTCTTATGAAATGTTTAGTGAGAACACTTTGTTAGATATTTTAAGACTAAAGCTCAACGGAGGAATTGTTTCTTCATTTAGGTTCGCACAGCTTGCTCCTGTGCTCTTGGCTACTTAACTTACAATGCAAATGCTTTCCGCATCCTATTAAAGGAATGCAGAAATAAGCCTAACCAGTTCCTTCGTATAACAAATAATATCAACAGAGATGCAAGTATTAACCCAGCATTTTTAAAGGAATTTCAAATGCAGCAACGAGTGGGACTTCCTTCCTTAAGGTATTGTGCCTATATTTGTGAAGTTGCAGTAGTGAAATTATCAATAGAGGAACTTGTAAGAAAGTTTAAGGAAGATTGGGGCGCATGCGTGGCTCAGTCGTTAAGCGTCTGCCTTCGGCTCAGGTCATGATCCCAGGGTCCTGGGATCAAGCCCCACATCGGGCTCCTTGCTCAGTGGCGAGCCTGCTTCTCCCATTCCCACTCCCCCTGCTTGTGCTCCCTCTCTCGCTGTGTCTCTCTGTCAAAATAAAATAAAATCTTTAAAAAATAAAAAGAAAGTTTAAGGAAGACCAAACAAGGGGAGCTATTCCTGATATGAATGAATATATGCCTTGGATTCGAAGAGAGAAAATTCCTCCTAAATGTCCACTGCCAAAGCCTGTTTTAATTCTGATTTAGCAACAAAACTGCTTGTGGAGGCAAGAATACAACCAGATCTTGGGGATCCCGTTTGGTCAAGATTATTCACGTTTCAGAAAAGCTTTTTGGGATTCTGGTTGCTTCCAAGTCTGATCCAGGAAACCATTTTTGGGATATACTTGACAGTCCCAAGCCAACCAGGAATACCACCATGACCTTGGCATCATCAAAAAATATTCAGAAGGTTCAAAAGACCTTTGAACTTCATTCAAAGCTAGGCCAGACTCCCAGGGTAGAAAGAGGGCTAAATCAGACCCACTGGCTTCAGTTATGGCAAAGTATGACAGGCATTTATTTATCCAGAGGATTTTGCTTCAGTGCTGGCGTTTCATCAGAGCTTAAGTTTCTGTAAACGGAGAGGAGAATCTCAGAATGGGCATATTTTCTTTAGTCAATGTATATGAATTATAAGTCTTCTCTGCAACTAGCACTATTATGTAGGAAACAGAACTACTCAAGATACAATATTAACTCAGGGCCCCTGGGTGGCTCAGTCATTAAGCGTCTGCCTTCGGCTCAGGTCATGGTCCCAGGGTCCTGGGATCGAGTCCCACATTGGGCTCCCTGCTCAGCAGGAAGCCTGCTTCTCCCTCTCCTACTCCCCCTGCTTCTGTTCCCTCTCTCGCTGTGTCTCTCTGTCAAATAAATAAAATCTTAAAAAAAAAAAGATACAACATTAACTCTATGATAATAGAAGAAACTAGGATCCAATATTGTATTATGGTTCCGTAAATCAATTTCAGTATAGAGAAAAATTAGTACATCTTCATTTTAATTCTTGGAAAAACCAAAACCGCAAAACTGATTACCTCATTTTATATAATGAAACAGGGAAATCTAAATTAAATTCCTGTAATTGACAGTGTTAAATAATATTTACTGGTTAAAAAAATTAACTTAGGATAAATAATGAAAAGTATTATTTTACACAATTACTCTGACAACTAGCCCATGTGGCAACTTTTCAGGAATTAGCGAAAGATGCCCTTACCTCAGGACACTTCACTGTCAACTGCTGAAAAATAGGTGTAATAAGTATACAAATCTACAATGACTGAGGGTGAATGGCACCCCCTGGAATTGTGAACACTCAACTTTTAGGACTGTAAGCAGTGACCAGCGCTCAGTAAACTTGTAAGAATGGTTACCAGGTGAGGTGGAACTGGTAATCAAATAATAATTACTCCCATAACTAACAGTGTTATGAACTCTTCTTAGAGTATTTATATGGACCATTCCCTTTAATTTTCATAACCATTCAGTGAAGGAGTTTGATTAAATGAAACTATGGGAAATGTGCTAAAAGATTATTAAGACCTGTTTGGAAACTTTGGCATGGATACCAATACCCTTCCACGAAATGTTCCTGGATACCACTACTCGCAAGTACACTGATTGTGGCTGGCATCATGATAGCATTTTCTTGGTGCATATACCACTTCTCTATTCCCATTCCCCCATCCAGCTCCAAGAGTAGCAGATTAGAAGAGTCCTTGGATATGCAAATTTTGAAGTATGGAGAAAGACATAATTTTACTGGTGTTAACTGACCCTGTATGAAAGCACTCAGCCTAAATGCTAGCTAGTTTCATGTTACCCTTTGGCCATGAAGTTGGCATATGGACAGATTGAAGTCTATGCCTCATTAAAGTGGACAACAGCAAATGTTCCTCACCAAATTAACCAGCTATACATTTGTGATAACCACCTTTAATGTATTAACTTTAAGCGAGACTTAAATTTTATTACCAGGGAAATTTTGTAACTATATTATGTTACATGTACAGGATGAAGATTTAAAATAATACTGCTTTTAAAAGCCACCCACCCACCCATCCATATGGTGTGTGTGTTGGGGGTAAAACACACACACCCATTAACTAGCTACACCTTGTTATTCTTTGCCTTTAAACACTTCATTGGTAAACCTTTGCTTTGAAAATAAAGTTTTGTGATCAATATGTTTTCCTTTTAGTCTAGAGAAAAATGGAGGACCATCGATAATTCCTGTCTTTAAAAAAGGTAATTAATTTTTCTTTGGTCTCTAAGGTAACTTCTAGCCCTGACACCTTACAATTCTGTGTTCCATTTCTAAAAATTCAAAATGTAGAGGTTACCCCCAAAAAAGTTTACCTGTAAACTCTGCTTTTGTCATTCTGTATACTTAAAATATCTTCCTATTTACAAGACTACGTTAATCATTTCTTTTAAGACCTTTCCTACCATATCACTTAACAGAAATCCCTCTCTTACTTTGTTTTTCTTATAAGCTATGCATAGAAATAGGTCATTATTGAAACAACATATCAGTATGGCCTAAATTACGATCTTGCTATTATTTTGTTTCATGTACAACTTGTCTGTCAGTTCTTAGGGTAGAGACCACATTTTCTCCACTGATACACTACAGTTTTATATATATTTGGTAGATGTTGGCTGAGTGATTTTAGGTCTGCAAGGTCAGAGTCCAGAGCTTATAAAGTCACTCATTAGTTCCTATTAGACATGTAATAGGGAAAATAAATTATTTTTTGACTTAATTTATACGCTTAGTGCTTATTCATGTGTAGGACCAATATGAGTCTTACTTGGTATATTATCCTATAGTCAAAAGCAAGGACAGAACCATTCAAAAGCCAAGATCCATTTGTAAGAGTCACAAATGGAAAAGGAGAGAATAAAAGGAGAAGAGAGAACTTCACTTATTCAGGGAGTCTCTGAGGAAAGCTAGGTTTGTGTGGGAGGCTGTATATATGAATATTATGAATAGAAGAATATTTTTTGTATAGCTTCTTTAGTGTAAGTTAATTTACACAAAGGAATAAAGTCAGTCCCATTTTTTTCTTCACTTTAAAATTGTTTTCTTGTTTTGTTTTGTTTTTCAATATTGGTTTCTACATAGCAATCTGTGTACCACTAATGGTCTGATAATGTTTTCACAGGTTTATGGTAACATAAGAAAAAATAAGGACACTATAGTTAGTAAGTTTCTGATAAAGTTATTTTCATTCCATATATAAAATGTGTCATTTTGAGATAGTACCTTTTATACTTTCTCTTGGGTGTTAAGATATCCCTACTTTTACAAAATGACATTGGCATTTATTCTTTTATTAGTCTCAACTTGGCATAATAAAAAGTTGGCAACCATATATTGGCCCCACAAATTTTTGCCCTTGACATCTAAAAGTCTGGAAGGTATGGATCCATTCTCTTAGTATGTTTTAGTGATTTGAAGAAAATAGCACTATACAGAACCAAAAGCAATGAGACTATATATAGGGCTCTTGGGCTTAAGAAAGAGACATTTAATTGTGGCTCTCTAATTTTCAGGGAAAGAACACCGAAGAAAATTAAAACCTAAAATTCAACCAAGAGATTCTTTGACTTTAATACCTCCTGTAACTAACTTCATGGGACTCTTCAAAACAACAAAACAAACCGCTGTTTCTCACAATATTTTTTCCTTTTCATCTGCAATTTCATCAGATATCATAGAAGTATCAAGACCAAGAATAGTGTTTTTGAGCCAACTTGGGAAACATGTACAGAAAGCTAACCCAGAGCCTGCAGAAGGCTAATAAAAGCATTAATATGAAAGTATAAAAGAATTCCTGAGCACTCTTTTTAAATTCTTTACTTTTTTTAAAAGAATTTATTTTTAAGTAATCTCTCTATTCAATGTGGGCCTCCAACTCACAACCCCAAGATCAAGAGTCACATGCTCTACGGACTGAGCCAGCCAGACACCCCCAAATTTTTTATTTTAATTTTAATCTAATTCTAGTAAAATACATATAACTGAGTATAAACATTTGAATGGAAGTTCTTGATATTGATACTTAACAGATTTTCTCTAGCCTGTCTACCAAAGTTTAACATCAGGTCAGAGTCATAGTTACAAAAAGTAAATAGAATTTTCTTGCATTTAACACTATTAAAATATAGCAACTGAAAAAAGTGGCATAATTAGTATATCTATATCAAGTGTTAGAAACATTTTTAAATTGGTATGCTGGGCTAAAGAGGCCTGATTCAAAATAGCCCACATGTTAACACTCACTGTAGTACCTTGAGATGTTTAACGATAAATACTACAAATGCATGAGGGTTTTAAAACCCAAAATGTAGAAATGTATACTTTTAAAAGACTTAAAAAAAAAAATCTGAAATCACTGCCCACCAAGTACAAAAGTATGGCTAAAAACTGTGGCTACCAGTGTTGACCATTTTCCATACTTACAAGTATTTTTGGTTTACAGCTGGAAAGTGTGACACTCTGTGGCTTAGAATCACATGATGTCTTTGCCCAAGGAGTACTGTTTCCACTAGGTACAAGTTTTGATGTAGGTCGGCCTCTATTTTACAGCAGCAGGTAGATTTGATACAAAGTCAAGCTGGGCTTCACTGTATCCTTTAAAGCCCTCATTTTTCTCTGACCACTTTGCTCTGGGCCACACTGAACATATGTATTAACTAGCAGTTATTTTCTCCAACATGCCTTAACACAAACCCTAATGATGGTGGTGATGGCAGCTACAGGTACTTAGGGCTTTCCATGCACCAGAGTCTAAATCCTAGGCTTTTTGCCATTGAACAATAAGCGACCTCTCCAATCTTCAAATTTAATTCTAATTCTGGTGGATGCCCTAATATAGGAACTATGGGGGGAAATGGCTTATTCTATACTACAAAGGGAAAAATAATTCAAATGATAAGAAACTGAGTCATTTATTCAGCACCATTAAGGATAAGAATTCATATTAATGGAAGTATTAAGCCTCTGCAGATGTAAAACAAAACAAAACAAAACCCTCTAGACAACAAACTTTGAGCTTTGGAACTGGCTTCTGGTGGGCTCAAGACTATATTTTAAGAATACGTTCAGGGGATTCTTCGTATTCAATAATATAAGACACTTCCTGAGTTTCTTGGCCTACCAAGGCCATCCTACTAGTCCTAAAACTCACAGTATTTTTCCTGAAGTACAGCTCCTCCAGTAAAGATGATTTTTATCACCCTGCATTTTTTCTTTTTTAAAATTACATATGAGAAAGGCCTGAAGATACAGAGGATTTCAGCAAATTGCCTTTTACCTGTACAATTAGCTAACTCTGGTGCATACACTTGCCCATATAGAATTCAGTGTTTCTCCCTCCCTTTTCCTTTCCCTCTTTCTCTCTTCTTTCCCTTCCCTCCTTCCTTATGGCCAAATACTAAAGGCCTACAGATATGGAATGCTTCCCCAAAATGCTCATTTTCTTTATCTGTACTTTCTCTTATTTATATCATGAACTCAATTTTGACATGTGTGCTTGTAACATCTGTAGCAATTTTGATACTTAAAAATTTTAAGAACATAGATTGTAGATACCCCCATTTTATAATATTTGTGATAGGGGGAAGAGATTTTGGTCAATTTCCTTCCATAGTTTGTATGCGCTCTGATTGTGAGAGCCACAGGAAATACTTATATTACTTCTCTGTGAATTCAAGTTCACATGATACAGAACACAAATTTAAATGAAAAGTGTGAATTCACAAACTAAGTTTCTTCTAAATAATATTTACAAACCAATTCTATCAGAGCTATACCTCAACAGCAAAGAATATAAAGTTTGTTTTTTAAATAAATATAGGCTGTTTCTATATGTTCCCTCATATAAATTATATTTTCTATTTCCAAATGGATGATCATAAAGCAATACTCTATGATCACAATTCTTAAAAAAAAATTATTTACGGAATTTCCCCAAAAGGAGGTCACCTTAAGGCAGGATTAAAATAAGAAATCCTTTCGGTCTAGATTTTTATCCTTACCCTCTATTTTCTCAATAAAGCAAGTCATTGACTAGAAAATTAACAACTTGGTCCAGTATGGATGATATAATATAACTCTTTACTGGTAAAATCTCTCAAAGGACATTAAAGTCAGTAGCATTGTTTTTATATTCAAAGGACAGTACATTTAGTTACTTTAGGCAGAAAAAAAGTGATAAAGCTTCAGATTCAAAGGAAATTATCCAAACACAAACCAAAAACCTTCACATCTCATATATTTTCATTGATTAAATACAGTTTCTAAAATAATGCATGTAAACATTACATGGTCAACTAAAAAGTACAATACACACTTGAAGGATTACTTGCCTGTCCTATTTCTTAAAATCTCAGATGGATTTTAAGAAATGTATAGACATCCCAATTGCTCCAGGGAAGATGATACCTAATAACATATATTTTTATAATTAATAACATGCATTCTGTTAGAGACAGTCACTCTTTGTCTTCATTTAGAGTTCTCTGATTTGACATGACTTTGACCTGGCTACCTTTCTAAAACTGCTCTCTCATTATAAAAGTTAGGCTAATGTTTCAAAAGGAGCTAAAAAAAATAGCTTCTACTGATAACCACCAATTTCCCAGGGGGAGGTAGGTGGGGGGGGGTGTAGGTGAAATAAGTGAAGGGGATTAAGAAGTACAAACTTGCAGTTATAAAATAAGTCAGGGGATGAAAAATACAGCACAGGGAATATAGTCAATAACACTCTAATAACTTTGTATGGTACAGATGGTAAAACTATACTTATCATGGTATCGTAATACATATAAATGTTGGATCACTATGTTGTACACCTCAAATTAATATTGTATGTCAACTATAATTCAATTAAAAATAAATAAATTTAATAAAATAAATAGAATATAATCTAAAAAAATAGCTCTTACAATCCTGATATAAGAAAAAGAGAAAAAGGTCTAGGCCTTTTTAAAATGGGGCCAGGATTTAGCAGATTCACTGTATATCTTCCAAGGTTTTCTTTCTACCTGCCAATATCAGTACCTTCTTTACCCCCACAAGCTATTTTACTTTAATTTTGATAATAAACAAATCTACACTCCCTTATAAAACTATAACATATTATTAGTCTCTCAGCAGAGCAGGGGAAACATCAAACATAAAAACAAAAGAAAGTCTTGATGAACAATTAATACTATGTTTCTTCCACAATTTGAAATATAAAAAAATCACAACTTAATGTTGAAATACTACCTTTAGGGATTTTTTTGAAAAGCAAAAATCAAATCTCCATCTTTAACTGTGGTACTTTTATGGCAGCTTCTCCAACTTCTTCTGATATATCTACTCCAAGAGGACATCTGCATCACAATCAGATAAATCACATTATCTCAAATACTTGCTTCCTGATCTGTCGCTAGTTCGCTCCTATCTTGTGTACAATCATCTGTGATGATGGTTCTTGAATACAAACACAGCAGGGATAATGGGTGAAGAGAAGGCCAGTCCCATTAATAAATCTAAATTTTGGTATTTGTTTTAACTACTTAGAGGTATAATTGACATCTTTAATGTATACAACTCAATGAATTTGAGGATTGAGAAGTTTTTGAAAGAAATAGTTCTGCTCTCATACTATAAATAAAAACTTAAAAGGAAATAGAAAAATGATAAAAATGCCTTATAATTCTCTACAAAGCTGAAAGGGTACAAACAGTTTACCATACAGCTGAAGTCAAATCTGCATCCATTTCTACTTTAGAAATTCCCCAGGTTTTTATTGATTCTTCTCTGAGGTTTCAAAAGCTGGCTTGCTCCTTTTCTACCTTCTTGTCACTACTGGCAGGAGACGTCTGAGATCCTACTCTCTTTCTCTGTTCTTCCTCAGTAAATAATTTTGGCCTCAGATTTCTGCTTTTTTACAACGTTGCCCAATATACAGCTTCAACTGGACCCTAATCTGGAAAAAGCCATCAACTTCTGCCTCAACACTGTCACAAGAAGGCAACACTGGATCAGACAGTATGTTCTACGTGAGGCTAGGCCATCAATATAGGAGATTCCTTCTCCCACTACTAACTAAACTCTGTTTTAGGCTTTGAATTTTATACTGCAACTTGCATAGAGATTATAAAAGGTACCACGTACTTGGGTTCATAGCGGATGCCTTCTGTGTTGTGTAAAACGCCCACGCCAGCACGCAGTCTTTCAATACCGTTCCTAAATAAGAATCATTTAAATAAAATAAACAGACCAAGATTTAAAGGAAGAAGATGTAGCATGCTGAAATGGCAAATTATGAGTGAAGCACATACATCCCGTGGCTTACCATGCAATCATAATGCCATTGTCAGTGCACAGTCTGGGAGGAGGACACAGCAAAGTGCACTGTGTTGCATTTGTGACAATTTCCAGAGCTTTTCGGATGTATAAGTTACTTGCAACGCCCCCAGATACAACCTGAAGGAATTGAAAAGACCAAAATTAACAAATATTACATATGGCTATGAGCCAAACTGTTAGCTAAACCTGGGGAAGATTCCAGCATTATACAATAAGAAAATATCACATTTTGATAGGTGGAGATGGGCAAATGATCAATCTGTATAATAAAAATTTGGAGGAAAAGAAAATCAACAATTTCAATATCAATATACAAGGACCACTATAATTTTTTTTTGATTTATTTATTTATTTTGGCAGGGGGTGGGAGGGGCAGAGAGAGAGGGAGAGAGAAACTTAAGTGGACTCCACACTGAGCATGGAGCCTGACCAAGGGCTGGATCTCAGAATCCTGAGATCATGACCTGAGCTAAAACCAAAAGTCAGACACTTAACCCAGTGCACCACCATGAGGAGCCCCGGACCACTATCATTTTTGTACATTTTCTTCTAACTTTTTTCTAATTATAATCAAAGTACAACAATATTTTAGACCCTGCCATTTTTACTTATAAGCATTTTTCTCATTTTACATTATTCTTAAAAAGCTATTGCCTTTGATAGTCACATAATATTCTATTTTGTGACTCTACCATCATTTAATATTTGTCTCATTTTATAATTTTCAAAAAGATGAAGTTTAAGATATAGTTAAACAGGAAGTTTATCAAGGCTTTTATGCAGATTTAAAGGGATTTCATCAAAGGAACATAAATTTGAAGGAAACTAGCTTATTTTTCTAAAAATAATGATAGCAGTTACTGCATCTCATTTCTTAATGTAAATCCGCTTTTAAATTCAATGAGGAGATGCAGTCTTGGAGATTTTTTGCCACACAGGCTGTGCAGATGTCCCATAAAGCTGCCGTACCTGTATAAGAAATGGCTGTTAGTCTTTATTCTGCAAAGTTTCATACTTCCGGGCTAGCGTATGACATAAAGGCCTTTTGATCCTATGCACGGGATCAGTTAAGCTCCCAGAAGAAAAGTAACACACTGTGAAGTGTGAATACTATTGTTAGAGGAGACGACAGAACTTACCAGTACTGCATTACTTGGAGATAACAAGCGTCTCTGCTGGCAGAACAGAATGGCACGGTGAGTTCTCTCTGCCACGTGGCACGCCGTGGTGTGCTGTACCGCAGCGGCAACGTGTGCAGCTGAAGACAGGACTTGCCCCCTCTGCAGCCCTGCAGAAATAAGCAGGTATTTTTAGGCACAATCCAGGATTACTTATTTTTTCAACTCTCCCAATTAGAAATATACCTTCCTCTTTTTCCTTTTGCATTATTATCTTATCAATAACATGCTGAAGTCCAGAGAAAGAAAAATCACAATTTTTAGCTCGTTGCATGGGAGGTTTGATAGCAAAATGCAGTTTATTTCCTTGTTTGGCCAAATGTTCTATAGCCTTCCCACCACTCATGGTGGAGCACTCTGGATGTTTTATCAAAGACAGTCTTCTTGCCACCTATCAAAAACAAAAATGTTTGTAATGAGTCATAAAGCTGCACATTTGAAAACAAGCAAAGGAAATGAAATTTACTAAAAAAAAAAAAGTCCAACCAAAAACCAAAATAGCACAACAAGCCTGGGTGAATAAGACATGCTGTGCTTTTACATATATGGACTATAGTTAGTAGTCAGTAAGGACAGACTCTTGCTCCTTCTCACAGCCTGATCAATAGGGGTCAATAGGGGCGCCTGGGTGGCTCAGATGGTTGAGCATCTGCCTTCAGCTCAGGTCATGATCCTAGGGTCCTGGGATCGAGTCCCGCATCAGGCTCCCTGCTAGGCCGGGAGCCTGCTTCTCCCTCTGCCTCTGCCTCTCTCTCTGACTCTCATGAATAAAAAAAAAAAAAAAAAATAGGGGTCAATCACTGCTTCCCTATCTACTTCTGCTCTTTTGGAGATGAAAAATAAGTTTGAAGTTCACAATGACTGCTTAATGATTAGCTTCACATTAGAACTTGTCCATTTCCTCTAATCATTGCAGCTGTTGGCAGTAGGCTTTCTGCAGATAGCAGTAGGCTCAGGATTCATAAACAAGGGAAAAAGAAACCTGCTTGGTGGTGGTGTCAGCAACTATGACGTTCAGTCACAAAACTTTGTACATCTTTGGGCGCCTGGGTGGCTCAGTTGGTTAAGCAACTGCCTTCGGCTCAGGTCATGATCTTGGAGTCCCGGGATCGAGTCCCACATTGGGCTCCCTGCTCAGCGGGGAGTCTGCTTCTCCCTCTGACCCTCTCCCCTCTCATGCTCTCACTCTTCTCTCTCTCACGTAAATAAATAAAATCTTTAAAAAAAACATACAAAACTTTATACATCTTTAATGTCCTTTATTATCTTTATATACCCTCTTATTTCACATTTTTATAGTACTTTACATGGCAATTTCTTTCAGATATATTTTTTGATTAAAAACATTAACAGCATCTGCAAACTATATGAGCCTTTATGTACTGATCTAAACCTCTTACCATTTCACTCATAATGGGTAAGAAATCTTTTATAAAACTATGTACTACTTTTCTTTTTTTCTTACTGCATATAAATTTTTTTCAGTCTATTAATCAGAAATATTTAGATAAATGGCAGTAGTGTATCTATTATTATCTGACTGAAATAGACACCTTAATAGAAAAGAATGAAGAAATTAATTCTTAAATAATTACCTTGTCAAGCATGTCACCTGGTGCTATGTCCAAAGACTTTCCCAGAAGCAGAAAATCTGAAACTCCTCTAACTAATGCCAACAGACAATGACCTCCAGAAATCAAAAGAACTAAAAAGGGAAATTCTACTTTATTTAACAACCTAATAGTAAGTGCATGAGCCTCCATATGATGAATGGGAATGAAAGGTTTTTTTAACTGGTCTACTAGTTGTAAACTAAATGATAAGCCTACTCCCAAGCTTAAAGCAAGTCCTGGTTTTACAGTAGTTGCAATTGCTGAGAGTTCACTTGGAGAGACTTTACTGGCAGAGAGCACTTCTTGCACTATTCGTTGAATATTTTCTCTGTGAAGTTGCTGAGCTACTGCAGGAACAATCCCACCTGTTCTGGAAGAAATAAAAAAACAGCTTTTTAGAATTTCAAGACTGTCAAAATAGAGTAAGAAAAGTTTTACATTAGGGCTGAAGGCATGTTTTCAAATTAATTATTTTATAGCCAAATATGTTAGTCAAGTATATTTAAGTATGTGTACCTTATAATGCAGCACAGTATAAGAACTTAGTATGCAGTGATTAAGGGTGTAATGTCTGACTTTTCAAAATTGTACACAACAAATTCCTATGGATTTGTTGATGAATGGAATCACCAAAATAATCTTAAGAAGCATTCTATGGAAGACGTCTTGAACAAGGAAAGGACAGGATAAAACTGGATTTTAGAAAAATTAATCTCTCTGGAGACAGAATTTTTATTTTTATTTATTTTTTCAATTAAAA